CCGTCTTTAAATTTCGAGGGCTCCTGTTAACTTGATGTATGTTATCTACTAAAACCTTGTGAACTCAAGAGATCTACACTACGATTTTATAGATAGGTAGCAGCTGCCGCCTCGTGACGTGATAAATTTCATTGAAAACCCAGTTGCCATTGGTTGTGGCTCAGGATGAACCAAATCGCGAGCCAAACGCGCGCCTATGCGGGCGACTCTGAAACAGAGCGACCCTATAGGACCGAGTAGAGCTGACCCCTAGGCTTGCTGATGCTGTAACCTTTTGCAGAAGAGGGCTGCCCCATGAGGCTAACCTTTTGGTTAGCGGCCCAACCTTGCCACCAGGGTTCCTATGGCGACCCATGGACCCTACATCCCGAGAACTGACAGTTGGAGAATGGAAAAGCGTTTAGTGTTAAAGGAATCCAGGATAGCTGTATTTCTTTGATTTGCTGACAGCCTCCTGTGATTCAGATACGTTACCTCATCTACTGTCATTTTAGAGGCGAGGTAATCGGGGTTCAGAGAGTTAAGTAACTTGCCCAAAGATGGAAGGAAAAACAAGCTCTACCTGTGGGGGTCTGAATCCAGACTTTTCACATGCCAGCTTAACTGCCTCAAGTAAGGACGGAGGGGGAATAGAGTGCCAACTAGCGTCAGGTTTCCGGAGACTCAAGGTATGCACCGGCCTACTTGTTTACTTACTAATCTGTGGTGAACTATTTCCCTTTTTTTCATCACTTCAAAGACCACTCCTAGGCGCAGCTGGTGTAGCTGGTGTCTTAGCTGGCACCACAGCACCTTTCTACAGATCAAGGCTTTTTAAAAAAAATTATCATCCCTGACAGGGATAGAGAGTACCCAGAACACCAGGTAACTATGGGTTTACTTGTGCTTATTTACTGATCTGTAGTGGACAGGATGTTGTGGAGAAGATGTGAAACTTCACTACAGATCAGTTAGCACAAGGGAGCCTATGAACACCTTGTTTATTGGGTTATCTGCCCTTTGGGGTCATTAAGTGTTCTAGGTGGGAGGACTCTGTTTAGGAAATAAAATCTGCGTGTCCCAAAATAACGTCCTAGAAAAGAATGAGGCAATTTTATTAATACACAATACATATTACAGGCAATCAGCTAAAGAGATGGGGGACTATCGTACTCATTTATATAGCCAGCCAGACAGAATCTGTTACATACCTGTGAACTGCCTTAGCCAAAAGTAAAAAGCCAACATCTTGCGCCTTTTCAGCAATAGGAAGTTCATCTTGGATCCAAGCCCTTTGGTTTAATGCCCACAGAGACAAGGAGACCTGGCACCACCCTCCTTGATGTTCATATTTCAAAGAAATGGCTTTAAAGCCCCTAAGCAAGATCTACTTGGGATCAAAATTGGCAAGAGGATTGTTTAGCTTTTTAAAAAGATTTACTCATTTCACAAAGAGCTAAAGAATGCATTTACCCTTGGAAATTTTCTAAAGACAGGGGAGGAGGAAAAGTCCTGTCTTTTTTGGCCTTGGAGATTTTTTCACGTGTGAACTGTTCCTTAGATTTGTATTTCCCTTATAGTCCCAGATGTCAGAGCTATGAGGGCAAACAGCAGCACGGATGTGGACGAATCCATTGGGCAAATGAGAGGCAAATGGGAATGGAAAATGTTGTATGTGAGGATAAAAGATGCCACAGCAAAGTGTGGTGAAGAAAGCAGATGGTACCCAGCATCAATTGGAATAATATATGGGGTCTTACAGGCTTGTATTCAAACAAGCAGCCATCTAAGCAAGGGGTCAACTAAGCCCACATTGGAAAAGCACACCAGCATATGTGATCCAAAAATGACAATAGCAACATCCAAATAGGATGAAGGGAAAAGTATCAAAGCTTAAATTGTGAACTCCCAATTTGTAGAAGGTTATGGAGGACAGTGGGAACCCAAAACTCATCTGCAGCATTCTAGTCAGATTAAGCCTCTCTGGCAGATCCCCACTAGCCACTGGCAAAGGACTCAAAACAGCTTTACTACCAGACCAGACTATTGGAACCTTGATTGTGACAGATGGAGCCACAGTATAATGTGATACTTGGTCAGTTGACCTCCCTCTTGACCCAACCTGAATTTGCTCTAGGCTCAAGTATTTCTGGCTTGTTCCATAACAAATTACTTCTCTGGCTTTTAAAATATTGATGGTGGTCTTTTCTATTCTTGCTCTCTATTTTTATCTTTATGTTGTTATTGTGTACTTATTACTGTTTTGTTTTGTTTTATTATTTCTATTGGATTTCCCAGTTTGTGAAGCACAGAAGAAGTAGGTGCATAGAGACTATAACTGATGAAATGATTTATCAGGGACGTGGGAGTAGGGTAAGGTGGGGGGTTGGGATTTGGGGAGCAAACAATGCAGGAAGGGGAAGGGAACATTAGAAATGAATGTGATGATGTATCAACAACTCTTTTAAAAAGCAATTTTACTATGGAAATGTATGATCTATGAATATTACATCAAGAAAACTACTAAAATAAATGAAACCAAACAAACAATAGTTACTATAGGTGAAGGAGGAACAGTTTTTGCTTAGGGGCATTATGTTTATGTTAATGGTGGTGGAATAATTTGGAAAAGGATATCAATAATGGTTGTACAACATGAAGAGTATAATCAATGGCACTGAATTATACATGTAGAAGTTGTGGAATTGGAGAATGTTTTGTTGTGTATATTTTTGCCACAAATTTTAAAAAGATGAATAACAATGAATATAGAGAAGAAGAAAATGTTCTAGATTTGATTGTGGTGATGATTATACAACTCTTCTTAATATGACTGCATTGAATTGTATGACACGTGGATGAAGTGCCAATAAAACCGTTAAAACATTAAATAAATAAGAGAAACCTCATCTGTACAGACACACGTTTTGAAAAGGTTAGGAGAAAAGACATGAAAAATTCACTGGGGATAATAATGCATATGTATACATTTGATAATAAAAACAAAGCACTATGTAATGAAGTCAATTTTAAAGAAATAATATAGAGATAAAGCATGACTTTATTGAATGTCTGCTATTGAAATTATGACACAAAAACTATTTTCATAGACTTTTCTAAATCAAGCATGCTAAATGTTAGAGAGAGAGAGAATATGGAGCCCTGGTGGCACGGGGGTGACATGGTGGGCTGTTAACCCCAGTCGGCAGATTGAAACCACCTGCTCTGCAGGAGAAACACTGTTGTCTGCTCCCAGAAACCACACAGGCAGTTGATTGATATTAATTGGAATCAAGACATATAGATTCATATGAATTGGAATCAACTCAATGGCAGTGGTTTGTCAGTGTATCTAAAAAATATAAAGAAATTGTTAAATGTTTGCACCCAGACATAGAATTCCCCTGAATGCAAGTACTACGAATGGGGCTGGATACTAGTGTTCACATTGGTGACTTATCAGAGTTGTCATTTTCAACTTAAAACAAACCTCTAAATGTAACTATATTCCCTTGATTGACACAGTAGTTGTATTCCTGAAAATTCAAGTGTATATTAAAACCAAGTAAAAGCATTTTGAAGTTTATGTGTAAAGTGCTGTATCCTGGAAGTCACGCGGAGGAGGGAAACTCTTGGCTGATGGGCATCTAGAATCCCTGGTCACGCCAGTAGATTTCCAAAACACTCCTAAAGGTTTGGAACAGTGTTTAATGTTGGTGGTCATCAGAATCCCTACTTAGAATTT